CGCAGCGGGGGGCCGCTGTCACTGCAGGCCAGGCGGTTGCCTCTTACTGGGCAAGGTGGGAGGGCCGACACCTGGAGGGCTGGAGAACGCCCATCTCACCTGCTATGGTTGGTATCTGGTCTCTAAAGCTGGCCTGTCCAAGCTGCCCGGAGAAGCATGGAAAGACAGACTGAGAAAAATGGGCCGAAGGCAGGGTCAGACGATTCAGAATGTCTAACAGAATGCTGCCTGCCCCACCGCCACCTCTTGAGGCGCGCAGACCAAGACCTGTGCTTGCGCCGGCCACGTGAGTGCAGGAGGCTGTGGCAGCCAGGAGGTAGCACCAAGAGGGCTCTGGAGGGTCCAGGCCACACAGCTGGAGCAGGAGCCCTCGGGCCAGCAAGCTCTCCTCTGGGCACAGCCTGAAGTTCACCTCACAGGTACAAAGTCCCGCAGCCAGACTGCGAAGCAGCATCACCATCATCAGGAGGCCCTGAACACTGACACAGAGCTGAGACCCTGCGCACACTGACAGGCCCTGGGAGCTTCAGACAATGGGCAGATGCTTCAGACAGTCTGCAAGGCAGAGCTCCGGGGAGCTGCCACGTGGAAAGGCCCACTGGACCAGAGCGCCTGCAATGTGGTGCCGTCAGCACGGAGGAAGGAGAGCGAGGGAGCTCCCACCTGTCTAGGCTGGCACGGAGACCTGGGGTGAGCGGGAGAGCAGAGGATCCTCCCTGACCAGGTGAGTGGGGCACACGAAGGGCATAGGCCACGGGACCTGCTTCTGTGTTTACTGTAGGGTACTTGGGCTCACTAGAGGGGGAAGAGACAGAGCAGAGTGTACCCCCGGATGACCGGGTAGCAATCCCTTCTCCACTCTCCTCTTGGAACTGTGGGCAGAAAACGTATGTGTGCTTCTCAAGCCACTGGGTCTGGGTCTTAAGCCACACAGTCAGTCATGTGGGATCCAGCTGCTCTAACCACCATGTGACCCGCTGGCTCTTTGTTTAAGTGCCAGAGGGTGCATGTGTGCATCAGAAAGAGACCGAGGATCAGAGAGATGGTCAGAGAGAAAAAGCAGACTGGCCAAATGCCTGGCGGGTGAGGTGGCTGAATTCCACAGCCAACTGAGCACCCTGCGTCTCAAACCTGGTAGCTTGAACAACTTCCCGGCCCATTGGCACACATGCCCAAGACCCCGAGAGGACAACGGAAAAGGAGCTGTGGCATGGCCGTCCCTGCTACAGCACTGATCACTTTCTGTCCCTCTTCTCAGGGAGCACACACACCCTACGGCAACATTAAGGGAGAAGAAGAAAAGGCACCCTGAGTGGGGCGTGGTCGCCGCAGTCACGCCTGCCTCAGCCTGTCAGGGTTGGGGCGTGCACGTACAAGCACTCGCCAGGGTCTGGACCAGCCAGTCACGTGGGTACGGCTCCCTGACCAGTGGGCCGCGGGATCAGCCCAGCATCTACATACTTAGAAACAAAACTAAACCAGTAAGAACGGGCAGGGAAGGGGGACAAGCTCACACCAAGACGAGCTTCCATGCACATCCTACCAAGGAGGCCAGGGAGAGCGGCTGAGCTCGGCACAGCATCGGGCTGCAGGCCTGTGAGGGACTGCGCATGAATCCCAGCGTGTCAGTGAAGTGCTTCTGTAACAGGACAGGCCAAACGACCCTGAGCGACTGCAGCCTCAACGTGGAGCAGAGGGATCAGTGCCCTGGGCCTCACCCTTGGGGCGGTGGAAAGGGAGGCAGCGAGAGCACGCCAGCAGGCCTGAACCGGCCTTGGTGTGGGCTCAGCATTTTCAAGCGCGTGTGGGGTCGGCATCTGGCATGCAGGTTAAGGTGCTGGGGTCCCACATGGCTGACCATGCTTTGAGTCCTGGACCTGATGTTTTCTCTCTTTCCTTTTTTTTTTGGAGAGGTTTTTGCTATAGGGCACGTGCGCTCACCAGAGAGACAGAGAGACAGAAAGTGAGAAATCACCCCCCAGGGGGGATGGCCACACCACAATTCCTTCTCCACTCTCCTCTCAGGATCTTGGGCACGCACGCACATGCACCCAGCCTGAGTTTAAGCCACCGGGTCCGGGACTCGAACCGTGGTCAACTACATGGGAGTCCAGCAATATAGCCACTATACCAACTGCTGGTCCCCTGATGGCTTGCTTTCTTACTTTCTCTCTCTGTGTCTGTCTCTCTGGTCAAAAGAAAAAATAATACTAATAAACAAAAGGTAATAAAAATATTTTTTAAAAAAGTGTGTGTGTGCACATGCATACATACTTGCTTAATGCACGCTACACATGCACTCGAGCCCACGTGTGTATGTGTGTCCACTGTAACACCCTCACAGTGTGCTCTGGCCCGAGAGCGGCACACCCAGCGCCTGCACACTCGGGGAGGCAGGCCTCGCCCTCTGGCACCCGCCCTCCTGCAGGGGAACCCACATGCCTGCTGATGCCTGCGAGGAGAAGGCACTCGGGAGATGGCCTGGGAGGCCAGGACACAGGAGCCACTGGGAAGCCACAAACGACCCCAGCCTGGGGACAACACAGGACACACAAAACACAACAAAGCATGCAAGTCCAGGCCAAAGGACGCGTGAACAATGGGCATGGGGGCTCCCAGTGGGCAGAGCATGCACTGCATGCAGCGGGGAAGGCGTGCAGGCCGGGATGGCGCCGTGCAGTATATGGGGCCAGGCTGGGTGGCTGTCCCGACAGAGATGGAGACAGCTACGTCGAAGAGCACAGTGCCCAGAGCGTTGGAGGGCTGCCAGCGGGTAGAGATCACAGTGGAGGGGCCACCTGGAGGTCGAGGTGGCTGGACCCCAAGGCTGGCCGTGACCACACCCCAGGCCTGGAGGCTTGAGAAACATGTTGGGGTGTGTGCGTGAGTGCCCAGGTCTCAAAGCAGGGAGCAATGGAGAAAGGACTGCAGCATGACAGTGGGGGGGGGCACACTTTCTCACTCTCCAGTGAACACAGGTGCCCTCTGGCAAAAAAAAAAAAAAAAAAGAAAAGAAAGAAATTATATTATACTGTGGGGAGCGCAGCCAAAGCCTCCACTGAGAGTCAGCAGCAGCACTGCCAGATGACAGGCAGACACGGGGAACAGGAGGACCCAGACTACGTGCCAGACAAGCTCAGACTCAGAAATGTCCTATTTATTTATTTATTTATTTATTTATTTATTTACATTTGACCAGAGAAGGACAGAGAGAGGGAAAATGAGAAAGCAAGGCAACATGTCTGGGACCTGAACCACCTCTGGCCATGTGGGAGTCCAGCGCCCTTAACCACCACGCCACCTGCTGGCCCCAGAAGTGCCCTATTTAAAGGGCGACACGGCCTGCGGAAGTGGAGAAAGGCCAAGAGCACTAAGAGACGAGGCAGCGGAGGCGAGGCAGACCCAAGAAACCCAGGAGCCAGCCACGTGTGCACAGCGCAATGGCCCACGGGTCACACCCTTGCCCAGGTAACACGAGACGGCACGCTGACGGGCACCGCGCCAGCCCCGAGCACGCAAAGATCGGCAGCAGACGGTGCTGTGCAGGGCTGCGGCCGCGGCTGCTCTGCAGACCTGGAAAACCAGGCACAGTGGACTACAAGGACCACGCTCCCTGGGGGCAGCATGCCCAGCCAGGCAGCAAGGACAGGGGCCTGCCTTTGCAGCCAGCCCAGGGCAGCCCGGGAGACCGTGCTGAGGATGGCGCCCAGGGCGCTGAGGAGCCCCCTTACCTGGTGCTCGGCCCCGAGACCCGGGGCTCCGGTGCGTCGGCATTGTGGCTCCTGCATTCATACTCCTGTGTCTGGGACATTGCCAGCGTCTCCTCGCGCCGACAGACAGGGTCAGATCACAAGGACGCTTCCTCGGCTTCAGACAGGAAGGTGCCACGCTGTGAGGGATGAGAAGCGTCAGCACCACCGCACAGGACACTGCGTACGACCACCACCCGGTCAGTCAGCCCTGCCACAGGGAGAGCCCACCCACTTGCTAGGACTGGAGGGAGGAGCTGCACCCATGCGCTGACCCTGGGGGTTGGCAGGCCAGGCTGTCTGGGTGCACAGCCCTGCCCAACTCGTGGCCTCAGAGCCCTCACTCACTGGCACGAACAGGGTGGACAGGAAGAGATGCCCAAGCCCACTGCGGGGTCCCTCGAGCACTCACACGCGGACCACCTTCTATGAGGAAGTGTGGCCTTTCAGTAGCTGTGAGAAATGAGCCTGGCCCTGCCTCCACGCTACACACAACCCAGTTCTAGATAAGTGGCAGATGTAGTGTAAATGCTATGGACAAAACAAGGCTTTTAGGGAAAATGCAGGAGCAAAATTCTGCTGCTTTAAAGCAGGCACAAAGACCTCATTCAGACACAGAAGAACAGCACGCACAGAAAACCCGGGCCGGCACCCTGGCGATGCACTGTGCGAGAAAAGCAGGGTCTTCCTCCAGGGCCATGGCAGCCCAGACCCCACAGCGCACACTGGGCAGCCCCCTCCTTGGAGGGGCACTCCACGCCGTCTCCTCCCTGACAACTGAATACCCACACAACTGTTTGCCTAACTGTTCGAAACTACCAGGAATGGTTATTTTAAAAAATAAAATTCAAGGGGCCAGCAGGTGACATGGTCTTTGAGGTGATGAATTCCTGTACAACTAACTGCGGCTCAAGGCCTGGCTTGCTTTCTCTCTTGGTCTGGTAAGCTCACATGCCCCATAGAAAATTAAATAATACTTTTAATACTTTTTTTTTTTGGAGAGTTTTTTTTTTTTTGTTTTTTTTTTTGTTTTTTTTTTTGCTATAGGGCTCATGCACTCGCCAGAGAGTCAGAAAGCGAGAAGTCATGGGAACCAGCAGTTAGCGTAATGGCTATGTCGCTGGACTCCCACGTAGTCGACCGTGGTTCGCGTCCCGTACCCAGTGACTTAAAACTCACGCCGGGCACGTGTGCGTGCGTGCCCAAGATCCCGAGAGGAGAATGGAGGAGAAGGGATTGCGGCGTGACCATCCCCCCTGGGGGGTGATTTCTCGCTTTCT